TAAAGGGGGAAAAGGCCTTTCCTCGTAGTAAGGGACTGAGTAGCAGCAGCTAGGGAGCTGAGCCTGCTTATTGCTCTGCTCCTTATACATCACAGGCAGATTTTACTTTTGCTTTTGCCTGGCAAGCAGCAGAAACTGCTCTTACCACATTTCTCATGTATAATGCGCACTCCAGTTCCCAGCAGCGGTGCTTTGTATGTGAGAAAATACAGTAATTTGTCCTGATTTTAAGAGATTTGCCTTCATTTGGAAGAACCGATACTTCCGTTGAATGGGTGCTGTCAACCCTCAGTCCTGCTAGTTACTCAGGGGGTTAGCAATTTGCAGAATTGATCCTCTGCCATTCAGAGTTTAAACACTGGAACCCACTGAATCCGCGGACACCAAATTGAACCATTTGCCCCCCCAGGCAGAGATGAAGCGAGGGCACCACAGGGAGGCAAAACTCAAACAAAAACCGGAAGAGCTGAAACCTGAGAAAGTGCATGGGAGGATCTGGAGGAACAATAGCTCTGACAGCGAAGACCGGGTCCCTGTTGAGCCTGCTCTTCCTTACACCAAAGACCACAGTGAGTAGAGCCACTTTTCTGTTGAAAACTACCAAGCATTTTAAGCACGGTCAAATAAGCTTTCTCGTGAGAAAGCCAGTGACTGCCAGCCCTAAACACCTGCAGCTGTTCGGTCTCCCGGCATCTCACGTTGTGGAGACGGAGGTTGAAAGGGCTGTCAGGGAAGCAGAGCCAAATGCGGTAGGTTTGCAATGCGCTGGGAAGCCTCAGAAAGGCAAAGATCTCTGTGTTCAATGGTGGAAGACAGCAGATATCAATACTAATGGTTTCTGAATGTGCCTCTTGAGAACCATGAGCCCGCGCTTAGGGCCTATACAGCTTTGTGGGAGAAAACAGCATCTGGCAGGCTGCTGAAGCTGTCAGGAGGGGTTTGCATTGTGTCCCCACCACAGCTGTACGCACAGTCTCACCACCTGTCCTGGTACTGCCTGCTTAAAGTAGGGATTATCCATGCGAGACCCCGAGTGGAGGAGTTAGGGATCGCGAAGGATAAAGCATTGATATCTGCTGACTTTGGCATGCAGCCTGAAGCCCTCTCCAGGAATCCAGCTCCAGCGTGTAAACTCTTCCCTTTTGGATAGAGCCGGCAGTGAGACTCCTCATGGTATTTGCCTGGCCCCCCTCTCACACAGATGTGAGGAAACACTGAAATCCTGGGTGCTTTCTTCCCTCACAAATACTGGTACCTGCTGCAGCAATGACAGCAAATGCTATGCGGCCAGAGCTTTGGTTCCAATACAGCCTTTCTGTGCCACTCTGGCAATGCAAAGGACCATAGAGTTGCCCTAATAGGACAGCTGAGGGTTTCTTTTTCCCTTCCTTTGCCCTCCCATCTTAATGGCAAGTTGCAGACATGTCTAGAAAAGGGCTAATGCTGTCGTAGTGCTTGCAATCCAGCGATCCATACCATGCGTGATGGTCCGTGGTGGGTTTTTCCAAGCCAGTGTACATTACAGCAGCTCCAAGGCTGCTTTACTTTATGACCAGGGTTAAAACCAACCAGCAGCACCCAAAGGAATCAGAGATTATAGGAGTGATATAATCCCCAGGCCCCCTCTTCTTGGGTTGTGTCCTGGATACAGCGTGGCTGGCTCCACGGACTATGCCCAATAACACTCTACACCAGTGATGCAGTGTCGCCGTCAGATATTCTTAACTCTAAAGCCCTATGACAGCTTTTGGCTTATAAAGACGATACATTACTTGTTAAAAGACTTTTGGTTCACTTTGCTTTCATCACAGAACTGAGCTAGCACGGCACTCTCTTCACTGCACCAGAAAGATATCCCAAGGAGGGAAGACAAAGCAAAGCACCCACTTATCAGTAAAGAAAATAGCTTAGCTTTGCGGGCAATGGCCAAGTTCCTTCTTGGTGGAAGAACATGGACCTCTGGTGTGTAAAGCACCCGTGGGCTGGTACAAGTTTCACATGATGTTTTCACATGAATATCTTTGAGCATGGGCGCTAAACCAGTGGGGGGCCAGACTTAAGCTCTATGCCCTCCTTGAGTGCCACTCCTTCCCCTTCTCCTGCCTGATCTGCTGCTCTGCTTTCTGCTCCCTGTCCTGTCTGCTGCTGTGTGGTCAGCCTGCTCCCTAATCTGCCACATACCACACATGCAAGCTGCCGTGAGAGAGAGAGAGAGTGTGTGCAGGGAGGGAGGGAGGGAGGGACAGAATGTGTGTGTGTGTGTGTGTGTTCGTAGGATGAGTCCCACATGCACACCCACCATACACATGCACCCACACCCCCCACACTGCCATACGCTCAGCCCCTGACACTCACACCCCCTCACACACCCAGATACCCTCCCCCCCACACACAGTTCCCCATACCCACCCACACCCAACATACCCATATGCTCCCTCACCCCACACCCACACCCCCCACACCTATCCACCCCCACAAATCCCACACCCACACCCTACCCCACACCCCACAC